ATCATATTACAAAACAATGTTAGTTTCTTGAGAATTTGTAAATATTGTGTTTTGTAAACACAATAAACTTTCTATTAATTAATAACAAACATTCTTTCATATATATTTATATTTACACAAACTGTAGAAGAACAATACTAAACATTTTACATTTATGTCTTCGTAAAGAAATTTTAATTAATAATGTTACAATTAATTATATAAAATCTTTAATCACAATTATTAACAATATTTTATCGTTTAATAGATACAGAATTACACATTATTACACTGTGCGCTTATTGAAATCTTAATGTACTAAAAATAAGGGAATATGGTAAATAAAAACAAAAGTTGACAAGAAACGTTATTAATCGGTAAGATATAATTATGCAACTTTTAGGCAAGGAACTATTAATATAGACTATAAATTTTTAGTAAAAAATAAGAAATTGTAAAAATGTTTAAGTAGAAGCAAATAATACCATTCAAACCGGGAATGTTCTCTTAATTTTTTTATATTAAGCTCTTTCTTTTGCACACTGTCCATTTTTAATTTCTCAATAAATCGTCCAGACGATAAATCCATTTTTTATTATATGTTACGATCACGTCTTTATTACATATAATCCGATATATTAATACAATTATTAGTGACAATGGACAAGCGTGACAGTATTTAATAATTAATATTTAATGCATGCGAAAGGTGAGATTCAGCAATGCTGTTTTACTTAACCTCAATTCGTCATATCAAATGCTTAGATGTTGGGAAAATTAATTTAGTTTATTCAAAATAAAATTCATAAACACGGATCGTAATTTCAAGTTAATAATAAAAAATTAATATTGTTACAAATTCTTTTAAATGAAAATTTAAATTTGTAAATAACTTTTTATGTAAAAATATGTAAAAAAAATGGAGCAAACAGAATGCATATTGGGCATGGAATGGTTTTCGTGTTGAATAAATTTTTTTCACTGCACATCAATATTCAATTACATACATTTTACTGTTCCCTACGTTGTACTATATCAGATAATATTTGAGTAGAATTTTCATATTCTTTAACTGCATCATCTTCATCTGAACTAAACTCTGCATTTAAAAGATTTGTTAAAGATGTTGATTTTTGCGTTAATAGAGGTAAATTTGTGTCAAGTTTTTCTTCATTTTTAACATTAATAGTTAGCGAAGAATTTAATTGTAATTCCAGATTTTCGGTTTCTTTATTTCTATTCGATATTATCTTTTGAATAGTATGTATAGTAATTCCGCCAAAACACATTAATAATCCTATAAAATTAAAGCCACTCATTTGATCTCCTTTCCATTCAACAGCCAATATTAAGATACATATTTCCTATAAAAAATTGTATTAAAATAAATTTTCTTTTACTCGAAAAATCGTACAAATCATTTTCATAAATTTAAATAACTGAATATTATATAATTTTCAATGTTATTAGCTTACCTTAATTATTCCTGTAATTGCAAGTGTTAGACTAGATGTGTAGGTAACAACTAAATATTCCATAATTTCCATTTGGAAAGCTAAAGCAGCACTCCCTAGCACAGCGCACGTAGTCAGTAAAATGGAATGAACATCATTCCAGTTAGTACTTTGGAATTTATTATACAACTCCGATCCTAAAAATCAAAAATATAGTTTTATTTTTTAGATATAAATTTCTTAACAAAAGGAATAATTTATATAACTGTATTCCGACAACATACTAAACGTGTATAATAAATATTACCTTCAAACCATAACATCACAGGTACAATAGGCAATAACATCCACAGTTGCATATAGTACATCATATCAATTGGACTTTTTATTCCCATTTTAGATTTCTGCATAATAAGTTGTGTCATAGTCCACCGAATGCCACTTGAAAATGATGCTAATAAGCAAATTAAGAATCCAAATATGCCAAATTGTGTAGATTTATAAGTAAACATGAATAAACCACTTGATATCATTACCACAACACATACTAACGACCAAGACTATAACAAAATATCTTGTTTAACATATATTACCTCCAATTTATAAAATTTATAACACATATTTATTATCAATACCTTCTTCTCTAACTTCAAAACAAGAGCAAAGCCAAGAATAAAAATAATAGTTGTTGATTTTGTCATAGTATACCTAAAGAAAGATATAGTGTATTAATAAATAGTAATAGATATATTTTATTTAATGAAAAATTTAATTTCTCCTATACGTACAATGACATTGTAATTAATGAAAGTGCCCAGTTAGACAAACCAACATCAAGACCACTCGCTATACCTATTGGCATGACCATCCATATTATGCTTTTCCAAGGAAGTTTTAACTGCTGTTGTCCCTTGTAACATGTCTTGATACATCTTCTTAGAGCAGATAATAAAAACTTTACAATTAAATGACATATCACCACAGTAAGCGGAAAATGAAAACCCTATATTTACATAAACAATGATTAAAGATTAACATTCAACATATGAATTGTAACAAGATTCTGATAAATCTGATAACTATACTTACATAATTTTTATAAAGCCATTGTACATAAAATGTTAAGCCTACAGATAAGATGAAGTAATTAACAATTAGTAAGAGCTTTTGGAATGATTTTTTCCAAAAGGAAGTCTCCTTTTTAGGCGTGGTTGAAAATTCTTGAACAGATGGAAGGAAATATTCTGAAGTATCTTCTGCATCTTTAGCAATTTGATATTTTATATGTGATCTTGTCATACTTCAAAGGAAAACAATCTGCAATGTCCAAGTGAAGATTGTATAATTTAATTTTATATATTTGTTAGTGGTATAATTAATAACAGTAAACTAATAACAGTATACTATTCTGATTAAAATATTTAAACAATAAATCAATACATTGACAAGAAAAAGTAATAAATAGGATTATTGATTAATATTTAAGGAAAACTAAAAAATCTGATTTAACGTGTATCAACAATATTAATTAATAAAATTGATTAATCATTATAGTATTTAATGAAATAATATAATACTACCGATTTGTATGTAAGAAATATGTTAACATACCGTCTTGTAGTCCTTTGTATACGTAGAAATAGTTAAAAAACTGTCACATTTGACATTCGACATCTGTCTAAATCATATGTTCAATAATAGAAATATTCGTAGCACAACGAAAATACAGTTGCCATATTTATTCTGGGAATATTAAGAAGAAATTGAAATTATACATATGCATAAAAATTTAATGGAATTAATATCAAAAAACACATTTTATTATCACTCACATCAATGTTGACACCAGGGCACAGAAGATATATACAGAAGCGAAACTTTCAATGTTTCTCAAGAACCAATTTTCAGTGCGCATTGCTTACGTATTAAATACTTAGAGTCATCGTGAATGTAGTTCCAAAACTTTTAATACTGATATCGATAATGATACAGAAAACTTATAGAGACGAAACTCCAGCACTTTTTAAATGACAATATCTAGTGTATTTAGGGAAACTACCTCTGCCTACATTCGAAGTCAAAGATTTCAATAAAATTGAAATACGATAAAATTAATATGAAATTAAAAAGGAAATTTAACTTCATATTCTATCCTTTTTTATTTTTTAATTATTCGGTACGAAGAAAATAATTTTTAAAATAAAATTAAACAAATGAAATTGTGTATACAATTTAGATACAGCTTTCTAAATTAGTTTTCAAGTTTTATCATACTTTTAAATGTCAAAAGGTTCAATAAGCTATAGCCACAGACGAATGTATAGGATAAACATTGCAAGCTTATGAGACTCGGTGTCACACTTTCTGAATTACCGACTGTGTAAAAAATCACAGGTTTTGCTCTGCCCTCTATGCCTAGAGAAGTTGACCAAGTAGTAAATATGGTAAACCAGTCTACAAACGTATCCGTTACAATGTTGTCATGTCTTCAAACTCTCAATGCGCGAAGCTATTTACTGTACTGGGTATTTAACTATTGTAAGAATGTAATGAGTTTTACGGGGTTTTAGAGCTGCGAAATGGATTGTGTGCACAATAATTTACTATCTTTATTTTGTTTTCTTTTCATTCGTGTTTTTATTTAATTTACATTAACGTGGTATAAACATTTTTAATATACATATATAGATCTTATTAAGTTTAATACATTAATTACATGACTATAAAGGAATTTTGTACAGAAAAATATAGTAGTTAGATAAAACGAACAAAACAAATAAAGATTGCTTAAAATTTTTTTCATTGAATAATTCTGTATATGTTAATGTAAAATCAAGTAATGTTCATTTATAAAAGAGTGAACAAGTATATGTATACTTAATTATTTAAAGGAATAATTAACGACTCATATTTTTCATTGTCAGCCTCGATGAATTTTGTACAGACTTAATTCTCCAAACTTGATAACATAATTTTTAGAGCCGGCAACACTGTAAAATTGTCTTCCCAAGTACACATTTTTCATGTTGCAGTCTTATATAGTTCAGTAGTTGACCGTTCGATTCAGGTAGAGTCCGCTAATGCATTGGGGCATTTTTGACGGTGTCGGTATTTCAGAACAGTAGACAGAAAAATACATTGTATGCACAGTCTGTACATATTTAAATCTGTGCTTCATATCGATTACCTGTTCTATTTGTTGTGCTTACATATACTACTTGCCTACGATTGAGGGTTTAAAGAGGTTATTTAAGAAAGATTGATTTTATTAATAAGTAAGAAGAAAATGTATTCGAAAACTGTTAAACATAATCAAATCTGACAGTTACAATTTAGTTTTTAACTTGATAATACACGTCAATAAATGTTGTACAAAGAAAGAAACACCTGTCAGGTTAATAAGACAATGATTAATTAATAATGATTAATTATGACTTAATAATTATTTGATCAAGTGATTTATGAGAAAAATGATGGAACACCTTCCAGCACCAGAAAGATAATGTACGAATGTAAAATATTTAAACAATTATATGTGGCTTTAATAACCATACTTTAAACACACTTGTATGTAAACATGGCACAAATACAAAGTCCGGGCGCTGATGGACTACCAAAACATTTTGTTACTGCTATGCGAACACTTTTTGATATAATGGACGATCAGAATACAGGATTTGTTAAGTTTTCCGATATTGAAGACAGATGGCAAGATGATGGAACACAGGGTCTTCCAAAAGGTGTTTTAGATAGTCTTAAGAAAGTTACGCCATCCAATGGTTTGTTATCTTTTGAGAGGTTTTGCACTGGATTAAAAATTTGTTTACTACAAATTCAAGCAGAATCTGATCCAAAAAAACATAGTGGTCAACCAAATAGACCACCGTCTGCACCTATTCTTATACCTGACAGTCAAAATAAAACAACATGGATATCTCCAAATACAGCAACTATACGACCAAATAACGCCATATCTCAACAACGAACTTTAAGTATGCCACAGTTATTAGCAGGTCGCAAAGATACCAGTGCACAATTAGAATTAATGGATGTCAGAAGTGGAACTGAATCAAAGTTACATAAAGCATATGGACCTCCGAAACCTCCAAGGACAGGTGCTGCATTGGAAGTTAGAACTATTAATACCGATAGAAATTTTGATAAATCTGAGATTCGAACGGTATTGCAAAATTGGCAAATGGGTTTGTTAATGAATGATGATAAAACTATAGAAAAACGACAGTTACCAACAGTAAATTATAAACCAGATACAAGAACATTATTAAGATCAACTCGTGTATTGGGTGATGGTAAAGCAGTTGAATTACAGAACAATCAAGTTGGTTTCCAACTAAAAAAGTCATTAAATAGACGTAGAGAACCTAGACGTCACACGTTGCAGAATGGTATTGATTATAATATGGTAAAGATGTCCTCCTCTAGGATTCCCAACTAACGATTGGTGATTGGTGTTGGGTTTGCATGTTATATAACAAGTATTAACATGCTATATATCTACACAGCTTATATCAATCTTTAGTTTCAAATTTTAGCTTTTAATGTATATTATTTTAACAACATTTTTATAGATTGGATAGTTGGGAAACCTGTGTAATAGTCTTTGTTAAAGAAAGTTATTTAATTTTGCTTTTATTTTTAGATGAAGAGGATGAAACAAATCGAGCAAGAGAAAGATGTCTTACTTCAAGGTTTAGCTGCAGTTGATAAAGCTAGGGAATGGTATTTGAAACAAATCTCTGCTACTCAAGAAAAAATCAAACATCTTGGACGTATGGGATCCCATGTGGTATTAAATTTTCTATTAATGTTTCATAACATTACTCTAAATATGTGTAATCAATAATGTGTCTTCTTTTATAGGAACAGTGGACAGAAGCACAGCAAGAACGATTAGAATTGCAACGTGCTCGAGTACTAGAAGTTAATAAACACCTGGCAGCGCTGATAAGTAGCTGGGAACGTGGCGGTCTTCCACTTCATATGAATCTTGCTTTTCTTAGTACCCCAACATCTACCCAACTCCAACAAGATATGCTTTCCGGACTTAAGCAACAAAATCATAGATTAACAGAAGTAAGTTAATAAAAATAAGTTATTGTTTAATCTCATGTAATATTGAATAAATGTTAATTTTCAAAAAAATATACAATAGGAAGTTAACAAAAAAAGCCAACGAATAGCAATACTTGAACAAGAAAAAGATAACTTGGTGCGAGAATTATACAATAGGCAAGGTGGTATGGTTCAGTCTCGAAGAGCAACAATGATCCACGAACAACATGACCAAACATTCATGTAAGGTACTAACAATAATAACGTCAGTGTCTTTGCATTTGACAGAAGATTATATTCTAAATAAATATTGTTTTTCAGAATATAACTAAGATGATTATTACAAAGAAGAATTGCTGCTGAAGATAGAAACGACGAGTTTTTATGTGAAATTATATGTCTTTATAAAACTAAACGAATGATAGTTATATTCAAGCTTTAGATTAAGTTTGTAAAAATTTGTTAAATATTCAAGGTACTAATATTCAAATTTAGATATATAATGTAAACAAAGTGCCTTAAAACTTCCATAATCCGTCCAAGAATCTAAAGATTATTACATTTCCGTAAATAAATTATTATTCTAATTAATAAACAGTCTTGACCCAATTACTCATTCTGTTGCAAAATCATAGTTTAAATTACTTCATAAAATTCAATCGATAGCACTGTGTATCTAACGCTGATTTTGTTTCATGTTGTTATCAAAATATTTTATAAGAAAATTACACAAACATATTCTGCAAGTTCCGTGATACATGCCACATCTACTTCCGGAAGTACGACCATAATGTCAAATGTTATCGAACAACAAAGAGTGATAATATGTTTCTCTAATCATCCGACAATGCTATTTATGTCAAATTTGTTACAAAGTCTTATAAAAGTCAACCTTATACAGTGAATTCAATATTACTGAAAATATATTTAACAACGTTAAGGAAGGATTCAAAAATACAACAAATGTACATAAAATTTTATAACGATTTGTTTTCGATCACATACGCATATAAATTGAAACTACTCTTCAAAATCTCCAAAACTATTCTCCTGACCATGTGGTCTGTTTGAAAAAATCCGTGACGCCTCGTACGATGACTGATCCAAAATCGTATAAGACTTAAAAACTTCCAACGTATCCAATATTATCATAAATTATGTCTATCGCCTATATTTTTAAAGAACGGAGCACAGAACTTTGAATGTAAGCTACACGAATCCTTGAAACAATAAAATATTACAGATAAAAACAGTACAGTTATATTAGGTAATTTGTTGTGTTCAAAATTAATTTTAAATTCGAATTATATATTCCGTAATTACATATTCAGTTTTTCCAACTTCTTTTTTTCAAAATTTATTCCATTCCCTTCGTTATTTTAAAATAAATATAACAACGTTAGTTTTTTAAATAACCTGAAACAACAGTTCAACAACTTGTGTTCTTCGAGCCATTGTACACGCGGATAGAAGAGAATCATGATTTTAAGGGAATCGTTGAGAAACATTGATGGTGTGTGGTAGTAGACGGGCGATTAACCACCCCACGCATGGTTTCTTGGTCTCCGATGACATCTTAGCTAAGCGTGTTAGTCTGTATTTAGCTAGCAGTTGTCGAGGGGCAGTTGCCTCCAGCTGTCCAGAGTCAGCGGTTCAGTTCAATCAGCGCGCCCAACGAGTATCGTTGCTCGCCTAGTATCAACATTTTTTCTTCGCGATAGTGTGTGTAGTGAGACGAACCCCCTTCGAACGGCTGACCTTTGACCCTGCAGAGGTCAAGAAAAGCCTATCCACAGGCGCGTTGCTCGTCGATTTCCGTTTCTGAACTATACGATCAACCGGATTACCGTTATCAGGGCTTTCTGTTCGAAGGGACTTTGTGTGAAGTTTCATTAAGCTCATCATGCTATCAAGATTGATACTACCAATAATACTGGTACTCGTAATTGTAGGTATGAACCCGTTCCTCGCGTTTCAAAGAAAACCCAATTTGTTCTTGGCCATTCTTTCATTGCAAAAATATAAAAAAAGATATAATTTTCGTTCGTCGATTATTTCCGTTTGCTTCTATCTGAATCACTTTGAAAGATAAATGCTCAGTTGAAAGTTAGGCGAATTCGAGAACACTGAAATGGCTGAATTAGAAGTTGGATAGTTTATTATATTTGTTGGTGTACTTGTATACGTATATGTATAGGAGGTGTCATTGACTATTATCCTTTTTATGTGATAGATAATACGTGTAGTGTCTTAAACGTTTCTTTAAAAAAAAAAGAAAGAAAAAAAACATCTCGGTTCATTCACCGAGGACACAGATAAAGCAGAACGATAATGAGGAGAAGTTTCGATGATGCATACTTCGTGTTTTCTTTATATTGTTTTCATTGTGCGGGAATACGGACGATGACAATAATAAATTATTTGATATTCGGAAAATCAATTAGGCTACGCAGCCATGCGTTATCTCCTTGAACATTTATCAATTTAGACAAGCGGGAAGTGCAACGGACACATCCGGTACAAATAGTTGCCCGAGGCAGCATGTCTCTTCGTAGCATTATCTCCTCAGGGTAAATAAACTGCAGATATGTTCACTGCGTATGAACCATTCGTTCGAATGCATCATGGAGAACTGGCGCCCATAATTTGTCGCTAAGATATCTCATTCATGCCTTGTATTACTGTTTTTAATTTCGCATAATTTATCATCCATTGATAAAAGCGATATTTTCTTTACTACATTGTCGCTTAATTAGAAGAGAATCGAATGAGAAGCGCTTGTAATTATTTTTCTGACGAATACGCTAATAGTATGTAAATTATTCAGTATATTTTAATTATCGATGGAAATATATCTTCGTTTACTATTAGAAATAAACATTTTTCTTCCCGCCGAAAATAACGGTTATTTCTTTATAATTTAACTTATCCTGGAACAAATTTATAATTAACAATCGTGATTATAATACGATTAAACATTTTATAAATATCCAGACAAATGAAATTTGTCGTTTTAAAGTTTTATTTTAATGCTTTATAAATATCTTTACGTACCAATTGTCCTTTTATTGTAGCCATAAACACATTCTCGCGCGCTTGTGATTTGGATCAGATGCAATATGGATGTCGAATTTATAATGCACAATGCAGATGCGGTTATGGCTGCTCATCTGAATACAGATATAATAATAATGACGACTGTAAAGAAGCATTAAGAGGTAATAGCATACCTGTTATTTCTATCAACGTGACGTTAATTAAAAATTGTAATCCAGTTTTTTATGCTCTCGCTTAAAAGTTAATAATATGTAATTATTGTAATTATTTAATAAGTATTTTTTCAGGTAAACGTAGCGATACATGTCATAGACTAAAGCCTTGTTTAAACGGCGGATCCTGTTTGCAAATATCATCGGAGCCTGGATTTAAATGTCGCTGCGAAGGAACCGGTTATTATGGACCATTTTGTGATAAACGTTAGCATACAACTATCATTACTATGTATTTAATTAAGGATGGTTATATTTATAAATTGCATCCTCACATTTGATTACATTCAATTTCTAACGTAATCGTAAATATATTTTCAACGACCTAATAACATAGATAAAGTGTTTCCAATAGCTAAGTTAAATATAAAAATAAAAATTTCATTGTTTGTAGTATTTAAAAACGGTGTATTTAATGAAATGATTATATATTTTTCAGCTTGCCCAGGACTAAATCATTTACGTCTCCGAGGACCATTTCCCTACGAATGCGTCGTAATCTGATTTACAATTCTTATCTTCATCTATTTGAAATCAAGTACATGCGTTATTAAATACAAAAAATGAACACGTTTTGTAACAATTTTCACATCTTTGTACATACATAATAAATACATATTGTATATATCATAATACGTATACACATTATTATTTATAAACTTTTATTACAAACTGTCGATGTAGAAATATGGCAAAAGTGAAAAATACACATTTGCCGCAATTGACATTATTTAAAAATGAGAAACATAATTTCTAAACTATTTGTATTTCAAGATAAAAAAGAGAGGTTTGATATTTTCACTGTTTATTCATCAATAATTTTACAATATGTATGCACATGATGTGTTGGATCCATGAGTTTGTCAGACAAATGCTTAGTTTGTATCGTGCTTGTGTTATGCACTTTATTCTTATTGTTACTCCTTTCACCTATTTCTACATAATGCCACGTGTACCTCACTTGCTGTTTCAGATGGCAAAACTTATAAAATTCGATTTTTTTACTCTTCGCGTAAGTACTGTTTTGTTCTTTTTTTTTCTTTCTTTTCTTTTTGTAGTATGAATCGACTGAATCTCGTAATACTAGTTTGATTTTACAACACGAAACTGCATCAGGAACTTAATTGCATGTACATATATTTATATATTATATATTATCTAGGACAAACAAATTGGCCAGTTGTAACTTCCTTTACAAATTCATTAATATTTTCTTTTTTAAAAA